TGACCAAGGAGTGTGTGAAGATCGGGGTTCCCGTCTTTTTTATACGGCGTCGCTTCCTCCTTCCTCCCCCTCCTCCTCCTCCTCATCCGTCTCTTCCTCCTCCTACTCCCTTCCCTCCTGGATAAATGTCTTCTTCTTTTTTTTTTTTTTTTTTTTTTTTTTTGCATACAACGCCCTCCTCCTCCTCCTCCGTCCTTTCCTCCTCCTCCCTTTTTTTCTCTTTTAATACGCCCCTCCTCCCTTCCCCTCTTCCTACCCACCTCCGTAGCTACGTAACATAGCCGCCGGTCCTTTCTGCCGGGGCTTATGCAACATCCCAAACGGGACCTCCGCCTGAAGGGAGCCCGGGCTAACAGAAGGCGAGGCAGGGGAGGGGGGGGAGGCGTGGAGAGATCCTTACGTAAAACCGAAGATGGTCGGGTTACGTAAATCTTCCTTCCGGTCGGTGCTGAATTGTCCTTTACGTAAAGTTGGTCTATGTCTATACTTTAGGGCAAGGGAATGTATGCTTATATTCGCGTTTGGGATTTTAAAAAAGGCTCATATTTATCTTTTAACTTTGTGTACTTGGATTCATGATTGGGGTAAAAAAAAAGAAACTTATCTATACTTTAGACTTATCTACTTATATTCACGATTAGGTGAAACAAAAATACAAACAAAAACAAGAAACAAATGAATATTTAACAAAGAGATTTAACTAAAACTAGCAAAAATGGAGACAGACAGATCACGTTTTCAACCACGCGGTAAAATAAAAAATAATAATAATAAACAGAAACAGAATAAAAATAAAACCTATCTGTACTTTAGACTTATCAACTCATATTCACGATTAGGTGCAACAAAAACAAACAAAAGCAAGAAACAAATAGATATACAACAAAGAGATTTAACTAAAACGCAAAAACGGAGACACACAGATCACGTTTTCTACCAAGTGGTAAAAAAAAAAAAATGATAATAATAATAATAATAAACAGAAACAAAATAAGAATAAAACCTATCTGTACATTAGACTTATCAACTTATATTCACGATTAGGAGAAACAAAGACAAACAAAAAACAAGAAACAAAGAAATATACAACAAAGTGATTTAACTAAAACTAGCAAAAACGGAGACACAGATCACGTTTTCTACCACGCGGTAAAAAAAAATAATAATAATAAACAGAAACAAAATAAAAATAAAACCTATCTGTACTTTAGACTTATCAACTTATATTCACGATTAGGAGAAACAAAGACAAACAAAAAACAAGAAACAAAGAAATATACAACAAAGAGATTTAACTAAAACTAGCAAAAACGGAGACACACAGATCACGTTTTCTACCACGCGGACCTGAGCCCAAACTCATGTAACCCTTTCACCCTGTCTTAAGATCGAACAAGTTATAGCGAATTCTATACTTATGTGACTTAAACTATAAATACATGAATGTGAGGACTTTTATTTATTAGTATGATCAGAGAGAAAAGAAGACCAAGAAAGAAAGAAAAAAAGGAAGGGAGATTGATTCATATGTGTACGTAAAGGTATAGATTATGTACAAGAATTATATATTTCTGGTTCGTAATATTAAAAAAAAAATAAAGATATGATTATTAAGCATTGAGGCAATATCAGTCTATTTTTTGTCTCTATTGTATTTCTTTATACAGATATTTCAGTACTATTTTATTTAAGGTAAATGTTTTGAATCTGTATGCAGAATATTATTATCGTTAACATGTATGAGTGTTTGTAATCTTATGTTTATTATGATAATGATAATAATGGTTGCGGTGATGACTGATAATGATGATAATAACGAAAATAATGACGATAAAAATAATTAGAATAGGGATAGATATAATACGATGATTTTAATAGCAAAAACAGCTCTAATAAGGTACACACACACACATACACACACACATATACACACACACACATACACACACACACACATACATACATACACACACACACACACACACACACACACATATACACACAGACTCACGATAATCTCATGAATAAAAGTTATTTGAAGATTTTATGTTCTTAATAGTATTATTTTTTAATTCAGAATTTCAGTCTTGTTATTATGATGAGTATGTTATCTTATTATTATTATTATTATTATTATTATTATTATTATTATTATTATTATTATTATTATTATTATTATCATTATGTTATTATTATTATTACTGTTATTGTTACTATTATCACTATGAGTATTATTAATGTTGATACCGTTATTACTGTTGTTATTACTATTATTATTATAATTATTGTCATTACTGTTAGTAGTAGCACTAGAAGTTATTTGAAGATTTTATGTTCTTAATAGTATTATCTTTTAATTCAGAATATCAGTCTTGTTATTATGATGAGTATGTTATCTTATTATTATTATTATTATTATTATTATTATTATTATTATCATTGTTATTATTATTATTATTATTATTATCATTATTATTATTATTATTATTATTATGTTATTCTTATTATTACTGTTATCATAGTTGTTATGACTGTTATTGTTACTATTATCATTGTGAGTATTATTAATGTTGATATCGTTATTACTGTTGTTATAACTAATATTATTATCATTATCATAATCATCTTTATTTTTATTATTACTATTATCATCATTACCATCATTATTTTTTATAACATTATCATCAATTTCATTACTATTATCATCATCACTATTATCATTATCATAATTACTCGGAGTTGCAGTAATAATATTGCTGTTATTGTTATTGTTATTATTGTCATTATTATCATTATTATTATTGTTATTATCATTATCATATTATCATTATTGTTATCATCATTATTATAATTGTTGTTATTATCAGTATCATTGCTACTATTATTATTATTATATTATTATTATTATTATTGTTACTATAATTAGTATCATCATCATCATTATTACTATCAATATTATTATTACTTTTATTACTATTGTTATTATTATTATTATCATTATTATCATCATTATCATCACCTCCATCATCATTATTATTGTTCTTACAACTATTATAACTATTACTGTTGTTGTTATCACTGTCATTATTATTATTACTATTATTAATTTGTTTTATTATTATTATCATCATCATATTCCTAATCATCATAATCATTATTATTATTGTTGTTATTATTATCAATTCTATTATTATCACTATTACTATTATTATCACCACTATCATTATTTTCATAAGTATTGTTATTACTAGTATCCTTATTATCATTATTACCATTATAATTGCTATTATCATTATCATTATCATTGTCATTATTAATATCATCATTATCATTGTTATCATTATCATTACAATTATCATTATCATCATTATTAGTAGTTGCTGTACTAGTACTAGCAGTATCGCTATTATTATCACAATCATCATTATAACTATTATTACTATTATCATCGTTATTTTCATAATTATTGTTATTATTATAATTAATATCATTATTACCATTATCATAATTGCTATAATTATTATCATATTTATTGTCCTTATCATCATTATCATTATTATTATCATTATCATTGTTGTCGTTATTATTATGATCAGCATCATCATTATTACTAAAATTATTATTATCATTATTATTAGTAGTAGTAGTACTAGTAGTAGTATCACTATTATAATTACCTTTATCATTATTATTATTACCATTACCATTGTCATTAACATTATTATTTATTTCATTTATTGAAAATTTTCTGCCGCGTCAACATCTAAGGTCTTTAAGGGTGTATTAAAGAAGTACAGCGATAGGGTGGGGCTTGGAAGCGAAGCCTCTGGTTTGGTCCATGAGGCGATATTCGTGGGTTCCCAGAATGGTTAATGATTAAACAAATAAATGTGCTAGACATCAACTCATAAGCCGTCGAGCACAAAGAAAAAACTTTCCAGGAGTCAAGTTAAACTTCACACACACACACACACACACACACACACACACACAACAAAGAACGGTTTCTCTGGAAGATCCATTTTCTCACAATAGAAAGAATCGCCACTTATCAGTACCAATCCCAAGACATGCATAGAAGTGATACAGCTATACATCTCTCCTTCCAGATACAAATCTTTCCTTTGTGAATCGTTAGGAATCTTCCCCCTGAGTTGCTAATAGTACAAGGCATCGTAATGTTATGGATGGGGCGTCCCTTAAGGAGAGCATGCGAAGTGCGGTCTCATCCAGTTCTCTCAGGTGAATGAACTCTGGATTTCGTAACATTGTCTTTTTTTTGTTATAGAAGGAAGGTCTATATACTAAAATAAGGATGATACTGATTCTGCGATACCTAAATAAAGGCTTGAGTTGACGATTTATAAATGCGATTATTCGTAATGCTAAAAAAGTCTACGATACTTAAATAAACACAACAGCTTTTATTATGTAGATGTGATTTGGTCCTAACGTTGTTTTATACTTATAGAAGGATGGCCCAAATGCTAGAAAAAAAGTGAAATCTACGATACCCAGTTAAATACTTTATCATACATTGCAGAAATATCAAGTTTATATATAGAAGAGTGATCCAGATGTTAAAAAAAATATAAAGTCAATGATACCTGATTGAATATTTTTGTTAACATTACAGAAATATTGATTTTTTTAACAGAAAGATGGCCTAGATGCTGAAAAATATATGATAAAATCTACGATACCTACATAAACGCTTTAGATTACATTACTGAAATGTAGACGTGAAAAAAATAAAATCTACTATACCTGATTAAACACTGTATTTATCTTTACATTTTTTTTTTTCAAATAGAAACGTTGATATAGATGTCAAAAAAGATAATGAAGTCTACGATGCCTAATCAAACTACTAATTACATTACTTATATATGATTATTCTTAACCTTGAATTTACGTCTATTTAAAAAAATATATAACAAAATCCATGATTCCTGTATAAACACTTTCTTTACGAAAATGCGATTATTCATAGCGTTAAT